TGGAAGAGTAAAGCAGCTGTGTCTGAGCTCTTGAATGAAATTTAAAGTTTCTTTTAATCCACAACATGAACTTCCAGCTCTGACACCACATGGAGAAGGGGGCACTCAGCCCTGAGTCCAGCCGCTACACTCCACCTTCATGATAAATTAATTCCCAAGAAACATTCATATGAATTTCAAGGATAAGGGTGCACATACAGAATGAGAGATCTTATCGAATGTTTCACTGAGCCAAAAAGAAGAAAAACAGATCTCTGCAGTCTGTCTCCTTCAAGCTTTTTCTCACCAATGAAATCATTCCTCTCAGCGACAGAAAAATATTACTTGGCTGCTGTGTGCAGCAGAGGCCATAAACAGAGGCACCTGATAGCTACATCTGGGTGATGGGTAATAGATACAGTGCCAATGCTCTATAGAGGGAAGCCATCAGCGAAAAAGACGGCTTTAATACACCTCAGCTGACGTACGTGGCTGTTTTCACTTTGCAGCCATTTGTGCTCAGTTTCAAATTACTGCTCAGACGTCTCCGATAACGGTTCATTACCTCCGCTAGGAGGAAAATCACATCCCAGATAAATTTAAACTGACAGTGATGCAGTAACAATGGAATGAAAGCAATTATTTTGAAATCTCCATCTTCAAGACCATCAGATATGGAGTTTAAGCGTGTGTGACATTATTCTCTGCATTGCATTAAAGTTTAAAGATTTGTCCAAACTTCTGCTGCCTTCAAGTATCACATGGAGAATCGTAATTAGGAGCGGATCACATATGAAAGAAGAGCTGGAACTTCAGTGTGCTAGAATCAATTCATCGTTTGATCGGTTTCTCTGCTAATCCTCGTCAAACCTATGTAGTTTTTACAGTTTTCATGCTGAAGTAGGGCAGTGCAGTATACGCAAAACAAAAGTGTTGCTTGATTGAAAATAGATTTCACACCTATCCATTTTTAATAGGAAAATGCTTGGTGTAAAATGAATTACTATCTGTTTTCATGACCTGTTAAATGTCAAAATAAAAGCATTACATGAGCTTGTAATTTGTTTGGGCAAGCACTGACTCCAGCAAGAAGGAGAAAAGGGCATGAATGAATGATATTGTATTAAAAATCACGATATGTACAAGAAGGAACAGCGCTGAATTTCTCCCTACAGAAATGGGCAATGGTCTGTGGTAACGACACAGATAATAATACATTTGTAAATGTTTGTCTCAACTTATCAACTTATTGTGAAAACAGTGAAAACCAAGTAAAACAATGGAGTGTAAAGTGATTGTTGTCTAAAACAAGTAATTTAATTCTAATGAGCTCGAAAGCCAATATTTCTTGTGACCATCTTCATTCTTCAACAGAGTCAGAACTGTGTTGGGCAAACTTTCATGTCGTTTCTTAAAGTAGTCTCCAGGAATCGCTCTCCGGGCTTCTTGAAGGACCTTCGAAGCTCTTCTTTGGATGTTGACTGACTTTTGGACTTTTGTTACCTTCTCTGTCAAAATGATTCCCCACTGCTTCAGATGTTGAGGTCTGGGGAGGCCCGTCTCTGACTGATAGTGTTCCGCTGTGTGTTTTTCTTCTTTTACTACAGTGCCAGTGTGTTTGGGATCATTGAAAAATAAAGCTGTGTGGAATTAGGTGCATGACAAATTTAATTTCACGATGGTTCAAAATCTAAAGGTACTTTTCTAAATTCACCATTCCATCAATTTGACTAGATCCTCAATGCCACTGACTGAAAAGTCTCAAACTATGATGGAGCCTCTACCATGTTTTAGAGATGGCTGCAAAAAATGCTGTTTGGTTATTTATTTATTGTAGCTTCAACATCAGAAATCGGATCAAATGTGACGGACTGCCAGAGAGAAACGAAATTAAAAATTGATAAAACAAAAAACTGTACAAGTGTGACTAACTGTTACTAGTGCAGCTTAAATGTTGCAATATTAAGGGTTGAGACTGAATGTTCCTCTTTGTGTAGCCATGTCTAATGTTATCAGTGCTCTGAAGTGACTTACTAAGTAACAAATATAGTAGCAGAGTGGAAAACTATTACTGCACAGCTTTTTATTTCATGATTTTAAGTAATTGGTGCCACAAACAGGATACCAGAAAAGTCAAACCAGCTGCCAAACACTGTAGTGGAGGGGTGATGATTTAGACTTGCAGACAGAGGACCTGGGCACCGTGCAGTCACTGAGTCAACCATCAACGCCTCTTTAACTGGCCTCACATTTCTCTAGAAACGAATGTGAGGCCATCTGTCTAGTAACTAAAGCTTTGCCAAATTTGGGTTATACAACAAGCAAGTCACCAAACAAAAAAACAGAATGGTTGGAAAAAGAAAATAATCAATGTCAAATACGTAAAGTCAAATGACTTCTTTTTTTTTTTTTTGTCCCTCACAAAAATGTGAGCAAAGCAGTTCCCACTGAACTCTGAGGTCTAATGGTTTTTATTAAAGGAGTTCCTGCTCTCTGAATGCTTGTGTAAAATCAGTGCCTCACATTTTTCTGTCCTTGGGGACATTATGATGGAACATTTATGGATAAAAAATGTTAGTGTTTCTTTAGCCTCAGTGAAAAAAGTATGAGCGAGTTGTCAGAATATTATTAGAATAGGAATGAAACCAGTAAATCCAGTGTGTACATAGACTAATGTGATATTTCCTTACTTGTTTTTTGATTGAATCCACTTTTGGGTACTATCATTTCTATCAGAAGTCAGTGATAGTCCTTATATCTGTTGCTGCAGCCATCCTGGACCTGAAGGACAGAAATCTGCTCGCTTGCTGGTGCTGCTATTGTCCATTGTCTCTTGTACTTCAGCATTTGTGCTGAAACACTAAGAACTATTGTTTGTATGCAAATGTTGAGTAATGCCAAGCAAATCCTGCAGGAACAATTCTTCATATAGTCATTGCTGACCTATATACATGCCTGTTTCTCCTGCTTGGAGAAGGACCGAAGCCTACTCGCGTTGCACATTATCCTCATTATTGTTGCTATATAATTGACTTTCCATGAGAATGGCTCATTGGCTACACTGACTTTGTGCAAACTCTATTAGCTGTGTAGTGTTGCGTGAATTCTCCAAAGATCCTGTGTAGTCGCTTATTGTCCAGCCCACAGCGAGTCTATGTCATTGTCTTCAAAGAGGCCGGGGCGCTAATTGGACCGCTAGCACATAGCAAATCTTCAGCTTCATTTGCATCAATAGCCTCATTACACCAGGATGGCATGAATGACCTGAAGGTCTGTGAGAAACACAATCACATTTAGAGATTGGAGTATTTTAGTTGATGATTTGCATCTTGACAGTTTTACATCAAAGAATAATGACACTGAGTCACTGTTTTTGACTGTTTTTGACTGTTGAATAGTCTTAGATTAGTGAGCTAAAAACTGTTTTACAATTTGCAATTTTCTCTATGGCTCAAAAAGATCAGAAAAGAACTCAGACTACAGTTGTTTTTCCAGAAAAAGCAAAAAACAAACACTCATTAACAGAATGGCCGTATTTTGTCTGTAATTATTCCATCCAACATTAATCTATACAGCGACTGCAAGCTAAAAAGAACCTGCTCCAACCAAAATTAGCTTCACCCAAGTTTCAGGAAGACACAAAAGCACCGCCTCTGTTAGAATTTCAAGCCAGCTGCTCATTAAAATTGAGTGAAAAAGGTAGAATTATATTCTATAAGGTTGCATCCCGGTAATATGATAGAAGCATTTGATATTATTTGAGTGAGATCCTGATCCGTTCAATATTTCAGTTCACTTCAGTTCATTTAAGAGAGTTTTGAGGGTTATGGGTGTTACTGCTGACTCCTGCTGTTGATGCAAATAAAATGCTTCGAGTGAGTATTTCACAAGGTTTCTGTGCTTTTGTTTATATTGTTTTCTTCCTGTGTTATTATCCTAAAATGCAAAAACAAAAGAAAACAAACCAAAAAAAATAAAAAAATAAAATGAAATTAGTGACAGGAAGACTGAAGTGTCAAAACTGTCCGAGCCTGTTTGCTTGCTGTCAGGTCAGATATCCATGTGGATATCTCAGAAACTGTGCAAATACAGCCACGGCTAGTTTGAGTGAAAAATATAAATATGTATCTTACTACACACAGACCCTGTGTTCCACTTAAAGTGAAAGTCCACCATTGCTCTGTGATGCTCCAAAGATCACTCCTCTTTATATTCAGAGCCCCTAAAGAGTTTCTCCTCTGTGAAAACTGGCTCAGACGAGAGCGTCACATGCAGACGGCTTTACGTCTCCTGAGAAATCAGGCATGTAACGGCTGACCTCAGGCTCCCCTCTCTGTCTGTGATAGAGCTGAGTGACAAGTAAAGAGTTCAGGCTGAAGGTGATACATTTACCTCCCGGTAGAAGTGACGTGTTGTTACAAAATGATTGATTGCACTATACATAAACAAATTAGGCGCACTCGAGCAAATATGCATATGTGCCGAAACATTTTTCATTTAATTTGATGGTCCATATGCTAAATGCTGTATTGCTCATAAAATAAATAACATTTTTATTCTTCTTCCTCTCATGCCATTTCTCTTACTGTATAAATATATTTTAAGAAAATGTACATAACTGCAAATTTATTTCTGTCAACATGTTGGTAAATATAAACTCCTGCTGGCCTTAAGCAAGAAAGCATGTGGCTTACAGTTAAGGCTTCAAACATGAAGAAACTTAGAGATTGCAGGCAGATTTGGACAATAAATAATTCTTAAATTCTCCAGTTATGAACAGATGTGTTGACAGCTTTAAGGATTGTTTTCTTCAGAATTCAGACATCAAATATAATCATGACCTTATTAAACTTGTCATTTTTGTAAAAAAAGAATGTTTTAATGTGATATGTAGAAATGTCGTTTGAACAACAGTTGTTTACTGAGTCCCTTTAATCGTAAGTGTACTTGCCACTGTGCTTTTTAATGAACGTGACACCAGACAGCCATAAGTAAATTTTTTCCTGTCTTTTCCTTTAAAGAGAGCAGCCCATCTTCAGTGCCAGAGCTCATGTCTTCCAGATCGACCCGGCCACCAAACGCAACTGGCTGCCGGCCAGCAAACATGCCGTCACTGTGTCCTTCTTTTATGATGCCACCCGGAACGTGTACCGCATCATCAGTGTGGGTGGAACTAAGGTAGGAGCCCAAGACTCTTACATCCAGTCAGAGAGTACACATGTAGTCAGATCTGTGCCTGTTCACCTCACTGAAACACAGATCTGGAATAGTGTTAAGAATGCCAGGACAGATTTGAACACAGCTCTACTGCATAAGCCAAAGCTGCACGGGGACTGTAAGAATACTGCACGGGCCGAGTGGTGTCAAACACAGATGCATGAATGGGTTTTATTATAGACTGTATGTAAACAATGGAGGTAGCTACAGTCATATCATGCAGTGCTTTGCGGACTTTTCGGCTGCTAGCCTTTAGCTGCATCCATAGACTCTACAGATGCTCCGGTACCTGCTTTGCTAAATCTGATAAGACTAAAAAAATAAAAAATACAATTTCAGCACAGACTTTTTAAATGTGCTGTATTTTATGCATTAAAAATGCTTCAAAAGGCAACAATACCACAAACACAGAGGTAAAGCCTAGCTTGGCAGCTAATAGTTTAATAAGGCACAACTGGTGAAAGAGGACCTCC